TATAAATAAAACATCAAGTGATAATTAACCCATCAGCTAGAACATCAGTTCATTCAGTTCATTGAGCATAAGGGTATGATAAGGATGAGTTATTAAGAAACATAATGAGTTTGAACGAGCTCGAGACTTTCCAAGGGATTGTGAGATGCTCGGGGGCCCGATCCTTGGACCTTTCTGATACTCTTTTGGATACCTTGAAGGATGATTAAAACTCATTATGTCTTGCTTAAGAAATCTCTTGCTTAAGAAATCATCTATAACACTTAAATAAAAATGAGTCACTAAGATATGACATAAGATCTGGTAGACATACCTCAGACCTGTACTTTCTATTTTTCCTACCAACATATTTTAATTCCTGCAAAATTATATATATATATATATATTAATAAAATGAGACTAGGCTTCTATTTCATTAATAAAAAGATACAAAAAGGAAGGCAAGAAAGACACTTCCCACAAGTTAAAGTGTTAAAGTGTCAAATCTCTAAGGAAAGGTAGATCAACAAGATCTACTTTCAACAACAGCTCTAAATGGGGGGTGGTACAAGTATCAATGATGGGGTTCTGAGTATGGAGGCCAGCCTTAGCAAGCCAATTGGCAGGGCTATTACCCTCCCTAAAAGTATGAGAAAAAAAGTATGAGAAAGGGACAGTTTTATCTTCAAGCTCAAGGTTTGTGTACCAGTGATCCACTGAATTAGATACCAAGGGGCAGAAATCCTTCCTTCAAGGATGTTAAGTAAGATCATGGAGTAAGTTTCCACCATTAAGAGATTCCAACTGCACTTTATGCCCAAGAAAACAACACAATAAACAGCTTGGGCTTCAGCTTCTAGGGGGTCTTCAGCTTTGGCAAGAGACTAAAAATATAGTAGGCATTCACCTCTAGTATTTCTGAAAACCCCTCCAAAGCTAGCATTAGGAGAAATGAAGCTACCATCAGTATTGACTTTGACCCAACCCATAGGAGGACAATCCAGTGAACAAGGATAGTTTGAAGTTTTCTTGTACCAACGAGGGAAGATGTGTATAGGATGTCAGGGAGTTTCCTATTGTAGTGCAGTTTCTGTAAATAGTTGTAACAGTGTGTGGCAATGGCATTTTCATCCCAATGGACCTCACCAAATTTCAACTTATTTCTTGCCATCCAATCATGATACAAGGGATGGGAGGGAGATGTTGGCCCTGTCAATCCTTCCAGCTTAAATAAAACACATCCCAAGACAACTGGATGGTATTAAGTCTTAGTTTGGGTAACAAAATGTTCCAAACATGCTAAACTTGATAGCATTTAAAAAATAAGTGGGGGAGGGATTCCTCCTCACATTTACACAGGCAACATCTTGAAGGGCCTCACATCCTTGAAGGGCCTCTCAAACCTTTTAACTTTAAAATATCATTAGTAGGGATGAAGCCATAGAAGAGCTTCCAAGAGAAAAAGGCCATGGAAGGAGAAAGAAACTTGTTCTACACACATTTAGTCCAAAGAGGTCTCCTGTTGAGGAAAGCAGAAATTAGCAATGGAAGCTGAAAATGTCTGAGACACCTTATTCTTCACAATAAGTTTGTCCTTCCTGGATCTCTCAATGGGGTTTTTCAATATAGTGTTAATTAATCTATTATCAAGGATATTCTGAAGAGCTTGCTGGTTCCATCCATTAGCAGACCAAAGGTCAGCCACCTGTGTTGTGGAGTTGAAATAAGAACCAGTTGGAGGAGGGATTAAGCCTTCTCCAGTCTAGTTATCAAGCCACACATTGAGTTTGCCTTCCCCAATATCCCAAATGAAGAGCTGTTCAGCCTTTATTATCATCTTCAACATATTCTTCCAAGTTCTAGAATCCCCCAATCTATTGCACAATCTATTAGTCACAAGAGAAGGATGCATATCTTTGCAGTATTTACCATTCAGAAATTTTGCCCAAATTGAAGTCCGTGCTCTAAACATAACCCAAAATTTGCAAAAATTAGTTTGGGTAATCTGCTTGAAACTTTTAAACCCCAGACCTCCAGCTCTAACACTGCCACAAATACTTTGCCATCTCACCCAATGCACTTGCTTTCTCTGGCCTGCCCACAAAAATCTATTGAAAGTTCTTTCAAGTGAGGTTTGGATGGATTTCTTCATAACAGAAGCCTGAGATAAATAAGATGGGAGAGCTGATAAGATGCTTTTAAGGAGAGTAATTCTTCCCCCATTGGAAAGAAAAGTATTGGACCGGCTGTTGAGTTTATCTTCGACTTTAAGAAGAATATCATCAAACTGGACTTGCCTAGTCCTCCCTTTAATCAATAAGGTACCTAAGTATTTAAGAGGTAGAGAGCTGGAGCAAAAGTCAGTGAAATTTGAAATCCAGTGTTTGATTTCAGGCTTCACCCATTTACTGAAGACAACCTGGCATTTCTGTTTATGAAACATCATCCCAGAGCAATCTTGGAAGTTCTCCAGACATTGAAAAAACAATTTGACTGTGGGTTTAATTGCTTTTGCAAATATAATAACATCATCAGTAAAGGCTAAATGGTTAACTGTAATGTTAGATCTGTGGCTATATAAAGAGTGAGGAGCTTTGACCATAAGTTGATTCAGCAGTTTAGATAAGTAATCAAATGCAAGTATGAAGATAGTAGGGGATAAGGGGTCACCTTGCTTGATACCTCTAGTAGCAGTGAAAAAACCATGAGACTTCCCATTAATGAAAATAGATTGATGATTATTTGTCAGCCACCTTAGGATTAGGGAAATAAAGGATTGAGAGAAACCCCTAGCAGACAACACCTCTACAATGAAGTCCCAATTAATGGTATCATATGCCTTTTGGATATCAAGTTTGAAAATAAGATTCCCTCCTCTACATTGTTTGTCCAGGTCCAGGACTAGTTCTTGAGCCAAGAGAACATTTTCTACTATGCTTCTTCCTTGCACAAAGGCTGATTGATTTTCACTGATAAGATGAGGTAAATGAGGTTGCAATCTGTTGGAAATGATTTTGCTAATAATTTTGGACAGAACATTTGTGAGATTGATTGGCCTGAACTGATCCCAAGAGAGCTTGGAATTGTTTTTGGGGATTAAAATAATGGTAGAGCAGTTAAAGTAGTAAGCAAATTCATCCCTTTGAAGAAGCTTTGTACTGCCTCAATTACATCCCCCTTGATGATCTTCCAAGCTTTTTTGTAGAAATCAGCTGAGAATCTATATGGGCCAACAACTTTGGAGCTGTCAATTGAGTTCAGGGCTGAACAAATTTACAACTCCCCAGGGATAGAATCCAATAACATATTTCTTGTATATCCCTGATCAAAAAGATCTTGTTAGATTGATAATCTGGTGAAAGGAGGTTGAGAGAATAATGTTTGAAAATATTGGATGGCACTTGCTGCAATTAAGTCTTCAGAAAGTATCCAATGCCCTAATTGATCTTTAATCTTGTGAATGGTATTACATCTCCTCCTATAGTTGATTATAGTTGACCTCCTATAGTTGATACAAGCATGAAAGTACTTAGTATTTCTGTCCCCTTCACAGAATCTAGTTTTAGCAGCATTTTGAAATTACTGAAGTTTCAGGTGGAGGAATGAGAATAATTGACATGTATGCTTTTATAGTTTACAACACCTTCTTTCCCAACACTTTCTTTGCTGTACTTTTCTTGCCCGTGAACTTGTATGTTAAACAACGATGTCACCCTCCAAGTCAAAACCAAAACTTTTAGGATAGCCACCAAACTAAAACTAAAACTAAAATTGAATAAGATAAAACACACCGCCACAACATTAAAAACATAAGACAACTCAATATTTAATCACAAACAAAATTGAACAAAAAATGCAACTAAATTAAAACGACTCTATCAAATGATCAGGAATCCCTTAGAGGAGGTAACCTACTGTTGCTAATGAGATTTCCCGTGGTCTAAATGAAAGTATGAAACTCATTGCTTTAAGTTTAGTAAATTCATTTGGACTAAGTGAATTAGAAAGAAAATAGTGGTTCCTGAATAAGGGAATCATAGGATCCTAACCGGTCTTAGGAAACATTTAATTTGACATCAGGACTTGACACATTACAAAACTTAAACTCGCCACGACAAGGAGCTTAGAGCTAGCATTGTGGGCAAAATGACCATCTTCAACAACAGAACATGTCTACACCAGCTAAATCATTCCTTAAAATTAAATAACAATCCATAGGATTTCAAGGTTGTTTGCCTAGTGCGACATAAATCCTCAACCTTTTCGTTAGGCTTTTATGTAGCTCTGCTGTACAATGGTTCTACTATACAATATAACTGCTGTACAATCTAAGCCCTAACTCGTCTTTAGATTCAGAGGTTGTCATTCATCATGACCTAAACTCTTACATCTTCTAGGCTATTTGTGTGATCATTTCACATGAATGTAAGCCCTAATTAATAAAATTGGCAGGATGAAAATCTCAATAGCTCTATTCTCCAAAACTGAAGCCAAACAGTAGGATAGTTTGGGAAGTCTTTGAGGTTCTCCTTAGGAACCGTGACATCCTTTAGTTCTTCTTCCTTTGGATTCTAAAATAAAATGTTCCAAATTTGAGTCATTCCGCTTTCACACCTCTTTATCCGATCTCATTGAAAAGTACTATTCATTGAAATTCTTGAAGATAACATCCCTTGATTTTTATCGAGACTTTTCTTAGGTGACTTCGGTTATCTATGATGTAATTAACTATAGAGGCGCTTTTCTGAACCCAACTTAATATAAACCCTATTTAATTTTTTATATTAAATAAAGGAACTTGTTGGCTTATAATCAAAATGGTTTCACAGACCAAATGGATGTCATATATTCTTAGTTTAATTGAGTCTCATCCTCAAGTCTTGTGTTTATCTTTCGGGATAGATTCATAGCTTGAGGTGTAGTGCTCTTTCATCGAAACTTTGAAAGATATGAGATCAGTTTGATTTCATATTTTTCTAAACTTAAAAAATATATAAAAATTAAATGTTCCTCCGAAGCGGGTGACAGGATTTTCATTCGAGCGACCAATAGCTTGCACAGAACAATCTCCCCTAAAAATTGCGCTGACAAAATGTTATATATTTTAGGTGTATCAGTGGCCATATGTTCCATATTAACACATAATTTATTACTTAATTCTATCAATCCTTTTACTAATTTTGCCAATATCTTTATTTTACTTTTCTTTTGTAATGAAACAAATGCATGTTTAGGAATTTAGATTTGCTTAGATATTCTCCTATTTAATTAATGTGATGGTATTTTCACCGGCTCTTAATTGATTTTGCAAACCGATCACTTGTGAGGTTAAAATCCTTTGAAAAATATAATGACCCGGGAGGGCTATGATTTCACCCAACTAGTGGATACCGCACTTTATTCCTTTATTCTAAGTAGAGCAATTGCGGTCTACTAAGGGAGAGTGCAATTTAATAGGGAGATAAGTTTTGATGGGTGTAGAATTTGTTAGATCTAGAAGGACATGCTAGATTCTTATCAATTTGGCTTAAGGTTTAGTACCCTGACGTTGGGATTTGGTCATCACAGTGACATAGGCTAGGGGCATTTAAAGGTGAGAGGCTAGATAACACTAATGTGGAATCAAGATGTTAATGAATCAGCCTTAACTTAGCCAATGTTCTTTGCTAGCATCGGGAGGGGGTAAAGAATAGGTATGCTTCTATTTGTCAGTGACAACATTATATTTTAGGCATTTCATTCCTTCACATTATCTAGGTCATTGCACGTGAAGGGTAGTCTTTAATATCTCAAAATTCTCCAAACCAATTTATCCAAACAAGTTATCTTTATATCTAGAAAAGTTACCTTTAGATAATTGTTATCCCTACATTTAATATAATAG